ATATATGTGTATGTTTTAAGGGGATGAAGTAGTTTTTATACATTTCTCAACCTCCTCAATCATATTTCTCCTTTAATCATCAAGTACATTTCATATTCTATTCATTTGATTATCATATAGTGATAAAACACATTTGTTTAAAGGGATGCTTTTGCTATTTTATTTACATCATATTTACCTTTTTAATTAACACTAATAGTAATAGTATGCCCCAAGGCTGTAAATTTCCTATTGTTGTCTGTTTATGTTTTCTTTCTCAGTTGTTTCATTTTTACAAATAACCATATATATTGTCAGTTAAGCTAAGATAGAATCATTGTTGTTGTAGAGAAATGTATTAATTTTGCTTATAAGAACTTATATAATTATTCTCTGTTGTTGATTACAGTTTATGAGAAATGGTCAACATATGTCTACATATGTGTTACAAAACAGAAAATTCTCAACATATATACATTTATATCAGAAGGGGGTTTTTCTGAGTCAATTGAAGCTAGACAACTATGGAAAATCTGGAACAACTGGACGGCTTTTTCATGCTATTGTGGGACACCTCAGCAGTGCGCATTCACGATCCCGTTTCGCCAGATTTGAACCCAGAACTTATCGGTCTCGCGCGTGAACGCCTAACTTTTTAACTACTGAGCCCATACTATCAACAATACAAAAATCATACTTGTTTAACAAATTAGTGGCTATCTGAACTTATTAGCTCAGTAGGTAACGTTTGAAGTGATATCTTAACCTCTAAATCATACTTTAAAGAAGTTATAACTTCTGTAGTTAGTGGTGACTTCGAGATGAATTTTCTTGACTGTTGTGAATAGTTGTGAATAATGTAGATCAGGAAGTTCGAGACAAACAGTCGTTACTAATACTAATGGAGATTTGTTTATTATAGGGCACCAAACCAATCGTTCTAATAGTTAGGCTTTCACTGTAATATCCAAAGGTTTGCTCTTTGATGCCTACTAGGTTTTGGGTTTCCATTACTAAGTACAACTATCCTAAAACAAAACAAATGTCTAGTCTTACTTGGTTTTAGTTATATATCTCATAACGTTTTGTATAAGTCCTTCCTCCCATTGCATATTGGGTCTTTCTTTTGAAGTTCAAAGGTAACTGTATTTAAAACGTTCTATTTTTATGTATCTCAATTTTATACTGTAACTCCGCCTGAAGCCTCTATTGGGCTACTGCGGTTTCCAAGCCCGGACAAAGGAGGAGGGTTGGGTATGTGGTTAGCGACTTCATCCCGTAGAATACTAACTTACTAAAAAGACTCTAACCAGAAAAATAATTTAAACCATTTAAACTCTACCCTGGGATTTAGGTCTTCATTCAGAAGTGTTATGACGTCTCAGGATGAAAGCCAAGTTTCTTCGGAAGTCACGAAGCTGATGCCCCTTCTGACAACCACAGCAACCATTAATTTAAGTACGTGGAATACTCGCACAATATCAGAGACCGGGCGAGTCTTCCAAATCGCTGCAGAATTTTATAACGATCTACTGATATTCGGTGTATAGTTACAAAAGTCATAAACAGTTTTTCTCTCTTTTTCTTCTTTATGTATTTCGTTTACTTCATTAGGACAGTATCCTAATTTAGAATTTCACTTCACCTATTTTATTTTTAGTAACGAATGTTTCATATCACTAGCCTTCACATATTGTGCTTAAGATTTATGTTCTAGATTGTGAATAAGATTTAATTTTTGTCCAACAGAAATTCCAATTCATCCAATGTTTCCAGATTTTCCATGGTGATCTAGCTTCATCTGGAACTTAAAACAACTATCTGTCAACCAACACTAAAATCAGAACTTTCAATACAAATGTCAAGACAGTTCTACTATATGGGGCAGAAACCTGGAGAACAACGAAAGCCATCATCCACAAAATACAGGTGTTTATTAACAGATGTCTACGCAAAATACTTCAGATTCGTTGGCCGGACACTATAAGCAACAACCTACTGTGAAGGAGAACAAACCAGATCCCAGTGGAGGAAGAAATCAGGAAGAAGCGCTGTAAGTGGATAGGACACAGATTGAGGAAAGTACCGAACTGTATCAGAAGTCATCACATGGAATCCTCAAGGCCAAAGGAGAAGAGGAAGACCAAAGAACACATTACGGAGAGAAATGGAGACAGACACGAGAAGAATGAACAAAAATTGTACAGAACTAGAAAAAAAGGCTTAGAACAGAGTGTGTTGGAGAATATTGGTTGGCTGCCTATGTCATATTTAATTAATTGGTAACTAAACGCTCGAATGGAAACATAGATACTAAGTTTATGCATCATTTTAATTATCTACACTGAAATGTATACAGATTCAACTGATGGATTATCAATGAAACAAACTGTTCATCTTGAATTTCAATATTAGCCATCACATATCATTCCATGTATATTACAATATATGTAATCATCATTAGTAAATTAAGTAATATAGTTTATTTTCATCCTTATTAAACTCAATTCCTTATTACATCATTACACTTAGTAATAATGTATGATCAATGTTGAGATTAGATGGTGGTTGGAGGTAGTCGACAAGAAACCCTGAACTCGGGTTTCGTGCTACTTGGCACTCGTCAGCAAGATGTACCTGTAATCTTGAGGGAACTGGTGCTCCCTGGCGGATTCAATCTCGTAGCACGAAACCCGCGTCCAGGGTTTCCTGTCGACTACCTCCAGCCACGATCTAATCTCAATATATAGTGCCCGCAGTGTCGAGTCACCTAGACTGATGGCCACATTGCGACATGATCGATAGCATTCGATCTGAACTAATAAGGACTAGACAAGCATGACATTGATCACCACCCAGTGATCAATCAATTGTGTATGATCAATGTGAATATAGTTCATCGACTTCATTCATTCATTTATAATTAGACTGTTTTATAATTGAATGAATAGATAGTTAAGATGGAATATTGAATTCGATCAGGTGGCAACGTATGATTATTGAATTAATATATGGAATCTATCTCGTTTACCGTTTTTTTCTTCTTCACTTTTATAGATCATACTTAGTAGTGACATGTGAGTTTTATCTCATTATGAAACTTATCTACTTAATGCATCAGATAATTCTTTTTGTTCATTTTCACTATTTTTTTCCGTTTTGTTTTGTTTAACATTGTGATTGGTTATGAACTTGGTTTATTCAAGATGGTGGCTGAAGACAGTCAACAAGAAACATTGGATACAGGTTTTGTTCTAATTGGCACTTGTCAGCAAGATTTACCTGTAATCTTAAGGGAACTGATACTCCCCGACCGATTTGATGTTGTGTCACTCAGCTTCATAGTCAGAGATGTTACCGCTGAGCTATCTGAGCCGCGACTACTGACCTCCTGTGGGACTGAGATATGTTTACAATTGATTGATTGCCATGTGTGTCAAGTTCTTCTTAGTGCAGATCGAATCCTATCTTATCTGAACATAGTGCATATAATATCGGACCACCTAGATTGATGGCCACATTGCAACTTGGTCGATAGGATTCAATGTGCAGTAAGAACGAAATGACATACATGACATTGATCACCACCCCGTGATCAATCAATTGTAAATGCTTGGTTTATTTATTACGCTTGTTTGTTTGATATTTTTAATGTATCCGTTTTAGTTACAACATCCCTTTTGGGTATACTTTGAAATAATTTCTAATGCATCACTGAACCAATCATATTTGTAAATGTTAAAAGCAAGTTTAATATTGTCTTGAAAAAAGAAACAATCAGGAGATTGAGTAGTTCCGAAAAATCAAACCAATGGGGTACACAACCAAAACGAGGAAGTAAACAATGACAAATTTAAGGTCGATAAGAATCAATCAACATCGAGGTGTACAGAACAAGCTGTGAAACGGATATGGAGTAAATCAAACACTTCACTTCTATCTAAAGTTTGTGCTGATGATCATGTCGTTCAGAAGAACGATGAAATCTTCACGACCAAACGATCATCCAGCTCAGAGAACAAAACTCCATCAAAATTGAGTAGTATATTTTATCAGTAGTCTGATTGTATACAACATCCAAAATTCAATAAAATAAATTAGGATTATTCTACTCAAGTGAAATTCTTCAAAAGATATCTAACAAGTTTCGTTGATAAAAAAAAAAACAAACAAACAATATCTCGGCTTAAAGGATACTATTCGAGCATAAATAATCCGTTCCCAAAAATAAAAATTTATCATATAATTTCATTATTAAGAATCTAATGAGAAGATAAAAGGTGGATATATTACAACCAATTATGATCCATGTTATCTAACATATCCCAAAGCTTCACTATCTGAGATAAGTTTCAACGTATATACAATAACAACCAAAAATATCTATGATGAACTATCCACTTAGATTTAATATCTTTGCATTGTACAACAAAACAATGTAATTATATTTGATCCGAAATGGATTTTGTGGATATTATAGTTGACTTTATGAGTTATTTAAAGCTAGGCCATCATAGAAAACCTAGAAACACTGAAAAGCCGTTTCGTCCTAATATAGGACTCTTTAACAGTGTGCAGCCACAATCCCACTCACTGGATTCAAACCTAGGACCTTTTGGTCTTGTGTATGAATGTTTAACCTCTAGACCATGAAGCAAGCTGGCATCCCACAGTGTTCATGTGTCTAATTTCAACCATATAACAAATTTGAAATTCATATTACGTGTATATCACTTATTAAGGATCGGTTATTGATTAAAACCTTATTTTATGAACAATAAATGTTTATTGATAGACAGAAATACAACTGAATACTTTAGATTATCAAATGAAACATTCATACAATAAGTGAAAAAAAAAGGAAATTGTATTGATGAATTGAGAAGAACTGAATAGAATCACTCATCAATCATCCCTATGAAATAGATCCATTTTAGATAACAAGAACAAAAAGTGAAAAGTCTAAAATGAGAGAAATCAACTCAAAATCCCTCCTCCCTCCTCTCCCCTCCAAAAATAAGAACCCAACTCAAAACGTAATACATCACTTGTAAAATATAATCATAATAGATGTATTAATGTAATGATGTAAGTGATAAGTAGAATAATGTTAGAAATAGGGTGAGATAAAAGAAATACCATAATTGAATGCTTATCTATGTAATAACTATCAGTATATAGTTGTGGAGATGATTATATTTTTGATTAAGATCATGAACTGATTGATGTAGAATTGCTACAATAGAACAAGATGGTCATTCAATGATTTCAAGTTTTCAATGATAGTCTAATATCAATCAGTTCATGATCTTAATCAAATATATCAAAGAGCTGCTTTATAATACAATTTGTATAATGCAAATCAACTTACTATACCAGAATGGGTTTTGTGGAGATTTTAGTAATTTCAATAGTTTAGATCATAAAAAGCAGTGTCCAGTGTAGTTCAATCGGTTGATTTGTGAGATACTAACTCATTGATGACAATGGTGAATATGTCACTCAATTTCGTGGATTGATTGGAGTTAGACATTAACACGCTTAGATGTCAGCCAGCTTAGTGGTCTAATGGTTAAGCGCTCACGTGTGAGACTGTTAGTTCTTGGGTTTGAATCCCACAAAGCGTGGTCGTAGATGCGCACTGTTGACAGAACGGTCGTTCAGTGCTTCCAAGTTTTCCATGGTTGTCTAGCTTTAATTGACTCATGTTCTTAACTATTTAAACTCACCTATACTTTGTAATGAACTCGTTCTTGTCATATACTTATTAAAAATTTAATACTCATGTTAATCTGTTTAGTCGTTAAGGTTCATTACTCTTACGATCATATGAGTTTTTTTAAAAAAAAAAACCAAACTTTCTTGTGATCATTTTCTGATTGAATATTTCAATGAATGTGGAGATTTTGTGTGATATATCGATCATATGATATGAAACTCATAGATTTATTATTAGTAACTTAGGTAACCATTTAACAAGGAGTAAATGTTATTCATTTGTCAATGAATGATGATAATCAAATTTAATTTTAATATTCATGAATAAAATTGTTATGTTCTATAAGACTGAGTGAAATGTTCATGTTATTACAGGTTATCAATACATACGTTGCTTCTTTTTGCCATCCGTGTTTATTGGTAAGATGTGTGTCTACTAGTTAAAGGGAGTGTATACTACACAATAGTGCACTTGGTTCCATTTTATAACTGTTCAACATATGGAAATCAAAGTAAAAAAAAAACATAAGCAAGAGGTTTTCGATTACATATGTCTTCGAAGTATTGCTCGCTTTATCGTGGAACTATCGAGTAAGCAATGTTGAGGTTAGATATAGAGTACCAGAGAAATGTAGCGAATCAGTTGAAGAGGTTGTATATCTTTATCGATTAAGGTGATCGTGATATGTGTAGCCTGTACTCAACTTCTGTCTATCTCAATAGTTGGTACTTGCTAGTACAAAAATAGTTTAGAAGAAAGCTAGAAGTAGACGGATTAAAAAAGAAGGTAAGTTCATAAAGTCATCCACTGTTTGTCTGAGGCATGTTCATAGATGCAGACTACCTAATTGTAATCTGTGTGATAACTACAGTCAGTGGTTAGAAACTTTGGATAAAATGGATCAGAATGGTGCTCAATTACTTAGTTACATTCACTCATTATATTCACTTAGTTCCTATATTCTGAAATCTTCTTATTCATTTGTTTCTTCTTTTTCTTCCTTAAATTTAATCTTCTCTACTTCCACTGATTCTATTAGCACTTCTACTACTCTGGGATATATGTTGATAATATGGTTTGGCCATTTGAGTCGATGTGCACATATTACAGGTTCTACATTTTACACGAATGTATGACTTTTACATCTCATTTGTTTACTATGACCCTATTTTTATACTTTTGGTTGTTCTTAGGTTTACTAAATATTTCTTTATTTCGAGAATTCTTAACTACCATTCATATTATAAAGGTTTCATTTCAAGTATTTGTTAAACAGCACTAACACCATCTCTCTCTCTCTCCCTATGATTACATCTCTCTAATCATTTTATAAGTTATGTAATCAGTGTCTAATGTAACTAAGCCAAATTATCGTCACTATTTCACTGGTTGAAATCATGAGTCAATTGAAGCTAGACAACCATGGATAACCTGGAACAACTGGAAGGTCGTGTCGTCCTATTTCGGGACTTCTCAGAAGTGCGCGTCCACGATCCCGTTCCCCACGAGATTCGAACCCAGGACCTGTCAGTCTCGTGCCAGGCACTTAACTAACTAGACCACTGAGCCTGCCGGCATCCCACGGTGTTAATGTTTAACTTCAACCAAACGTAACTATTATTCTGATAAAGAAAACATTCTAATCATGTATATAAAATTGTATTTTTCGAAATACAAGATTGACAATGATTTTGATGGTTTTTCTTATCAAAAAAAGGGAACTTGTCATAAGGGATTCTGGTGAGATTATAATTTATGGATGATCTTTGAGTGATACTAAAATGGTGTTGAGAATGTTCACCTACTGACTAGGGCTAAATTAATGTTTTGAATCTGTGTAAAGGATAAGAATTGTGATTAAGAGTTGATGGTTAGGGTTAGGAATTCGATTAAGTTTTTCTATCACGAAATGACATGAACTAAAATGCCAAGATGTCTTTTTAGTGAAATGAATAAAGAAATTCGCGCTGAAATCCTAGATCTGTTATCATAAATCTGATTGGTTCGTCCAGTGTCGTTGGGAGTCCTTCATTAATTTATTCTGAATACTCTAACTGATTAGTAAATTTATTTGAATTCTAGTTGTAAATTCATCTTTTTTTTTATTAAATCAAAATAAAGAAAATTTATCAAACAGCTATAAATATGACTGTACAGTTTAAGTAAGTAGTTTTGTTATGTTATAAGCTAAATTCTTTTTACTTTTATCCAATGACATAAGAGCCACACGTATATAGCCTCTGCCAGGGAAGTCCTACACACTGCCTTCTCGCTGCATTACTGTTGTTTACGAAATTAAGAAAACGAAAAGCGAATATCTGGCGCTTTAGCTGGGTTGGCGGACGTGGAGAGTCCATCTAGGGGAGTTGGAAAATCCTGATTCCAAACCAATAGTGCACATGGGCTCCAGTATCCTGAAGGAATAAATGGCGTGTGAACCAATTATTGGTCACCGGTTACCATTGGACTGCACCTCCTTACGATGTTCCACTACCTTGTGGATCAGACCTTGAGGTCGGAGGCTCCGGGTGTGGCCCCCCCCACGAAAAACACCTGCTTCGGTTTGGGCACCCGGGCAGTATCATAGCCCTTACACAAATCAAATGAGATTTGTGTGGTGCATATGTATTTGGTGTCTCCTTGTACCACTATTTATGTGTTAAAATAAATAAATAAATAAATTCATTTAATTATTAGATTTTCGGTTATATCCCGACGAGAAGGGTAACTGTTGGGATCTATTTATGGATTATATTATTTATATATACTCCTATTATAATACTATTCAGCAACGAGAATACATATATCTATACTCCTCTTATTGTAAGTTTCATTTTGACCTATGAACTATTATTATACGATTTACCATTCTTGGATTATGCCCTGTCTATTAGTTACTAACCCTGCCTCATTCACAGTCACATCTGACTAAACTTTGTACATATGTGTACTTTCTATTTTATGGTACGTTGTGGTCTGTTTAGTTTTCATATAAACCCCAGTATGTTTGAAATAAATGATTCATATCACGGAAGCTGTGATTGACGTCCATGACTCAAATGGCAGGGTTAGGCAAGGAAAACGACCGATAAGGACTCTAGATTGCTCGTACAGGGTTTGTACGTTATTATTCCGGTCGATTATTCACTGTTCTCTACTTGGTGGTATTATTACATCATATATTGATAAGGGCAAAAGCCTACAAGCTGTAACATTTTTATCAAACTCAATGATTCCATTTGATCATTATTATTAATTCATAATTATAGAACATATTTTTCCATTTATATATATCTATATAGAATCATAGTTTTGTTCTCTGAGCTGGATGGTTTGGTCGTGGAGCTTTCATCGTTCTTCTGAACGACATCATCAGCACAAACTTCTATCTGATGTCGTTCAGAAGATTCCTAGTTTTTCCATTCAAATTTCAATAACCGATATACTGTGTATATAATCGTTATTTCATGTCAATCACTATATAAGCCTAATTTCATTTTCCTATTTCTATTCTCATCCCCATGTTATTAGACTTGTCTCTTAATATTGGTAAATTATATTTGAAGCAATGATGGTAACTAGAAATGAGTTGAGCAATTTATGGATCATTTTTATTAAGGTATCTCTTGTTATTGATGTTTAAATTGATGAAAACCAATTTTGTTACTAAGTAAAACGTGTGCTTGAAGAGATTACGAATTCATCTAGTCTGTGAATGGAATGAAGATTCAGTGAAGATAATAATAACTCATTCAGCTAACTATTCCGATATGACTTAGCCTTACTAACCATACTGAGAAATCCAAGTTCAGAAGAGGGAAATATCTTTTCCACAAGCAACCAGAAGCACCAATAACAACAATAAGCACAACTGAAGCATAAAAGTGTCCTTGGAGGAAATAACTAACCAATAGTATTTAAGATCCCTTCAAGTGGGAAATACAACATCAAAATGAAAATGGATACTTTTGATACGAAAACAAAGTATTCAAATGTTTAAAATACAATTACAAAAATAAGGTATTTACCAAGTCAGTTCCAACAATTATGGAATAAGTTGATGTTTTTTTTTTCATTTAAAGTCATGAATCAAAAGTTTCTTTTAAAGTTTACAATCGGTAAGATTATTGTAGAGTAAACATTTCAATTAGGTTAGTGTTCTACAAACTATGATAACTTTAATCAGATTTCTACTGAATTACACTGATACTGAACATTGATAATAATCTATGAAAATGATTGTTTCATTGTAATTTGATTCTGACAACTTACACTTTTCTTGTTCAATATAAACCTTTTGTATCAATAAAGATGGAATGAATCGAGTGAAGAATTTGCTGTTCACTTAGTTCTTCATCATTAACTTTAC